ATATGGCCAAGTAGGTAACTAGAAAAGCCCGAAAAATAACAAATTACAAACAATACGAATAAATTAAAATGAAAAAAATATATGAGATGGAGGCATATAGGGAAAATTTTTCATTAGATAAATGATATTGTAGAGGTTAAATATAATAAGTTAATATAGAATTAAAATAATAAATAATGTCCCTCTTAGTAAATTCTTTATATAAAAAAGGATACCGTGTATTTGAAATTCTGCTAGTTTAATAAGGCTAATATTACCTGAGCGGTGCAACAACTATTTTATTATTGTCGTAGTTGTTAAGTTTCGTGAACATAAATTCAGATTAAGGGGCTTCAAATTGAATAGCCTGCCACTTCTATTACATGCATAAATCAGTTTTGGACACATATCGCAGATAAGCACCAAGCACAGTACTTATATATTTTTGAAATATTTATTTGATTATATATTTTTATATATTTTACAACAGCTGAAAGTTGCCTGCATTTAATTTTTAATTTAGTGCTCTACAGCTTTGTTTGGGTCGCTTTAAAATGCGTCAATTTAATTGAAAGCTTTTTAAAATTTCGTTTGTTAAGAGAATCAAAGAGAGCGTAAATTAAGAGCGCTGCGCTGAAAACTTTGTTGATAAGCGATCTGAGAGCGCTGATAAAATCGATTGATTCAATCTTAAGTTTTAAGTGAACGACAAAATTGATTACAGAGATTAATGTTATTAAGATCTCTTCATTATATAGATCTCTTATAAAGAACTCTGTAAGCTCGCAAAGCTAAGCCAGAAAAGAGCAAGCAACAAGTTTTTATTATTTTAAATTGAATAAATAACTTTTAAGCAGGCAAAACGATTTCTATTTCGTAAATAAAATAAATATATCAAGCAGGCAAGCTGTGCTTTTTTTTATGTACTCAGTGTTGAGCAGATTTTTAAGAATTTGATCAATTTTATCAATTAAAATATATAATATTTAATATATATATTTATGTATTTAGCTTTTTAGAATATACAAAATTGTTTTGCATATTTTAAAAGGAAAATCTTGAAAGGCTTTTATTCTGTCTAAGGTAATGAAATATTTATATATTTTTTAAAAATTTATGAATTGTAGATTTTTCAAAAATTGTAGTGTATTGCAATTATAAGAATTTAATTTAAAGCTGTGGTATTTAATCGAATAACGCGATTAATTATTAAAAGCGAATGTAAACAAATGTTGCAAAATTATTTTACGATTGTTTCAGACTTTATTTTGATCATAATTCAATTTGGAATTTCAAAGAAATTCTCCGGCAATAAAGGTCGTGCTGTCTATATAAAATGTATTGCTTTTGTTTTTTTTTTTTTTTAAGAATTAATAAAATTGTTCTTGTTAGTTAACAAACCTTACGATTTCTGTTAAACATGGCACAGCTTAGTCTTGTATTACTTTTTATACTTGTATGGAAATATTGAATTTGGACCACAACGCAAAGTGGATCTGGCAACAATTGGGCGGCAACTAAAGAACACGGCATCTTTGGGCGCTGCCGCGGAAACCAATTTTGACGCCCTCCCACCCCCAAATTCCGGCCAAGATAAAGGCGTGAATAACAGCAACAAGAACAACACCTGTGCAAAACTCAAAAGCCGAACAGAAGAAGGAAAATTAATTAAAAATTCAGAATGCGATCGCTAAACAAATACCGTGATCATGTAATATTTGCATAGATGCACGAGATAAATTTGAACTTATGTAAGTTCAAATAGCATGGAACACAATATTATCCCAAGCACAATTCACATTTATGGCCCGTGCCAACTGTTTGGCAGCCGAACGCGGCGAACTGGCTGTCGACAGCTTTTAAGGCCCCCACAATAAAGCACATTGTTAATTGTATTTAACAATAAACCGGCCATAAAAATTCATAATCAATGAATGCAGCAGCGGTCCGGGCCGCCAATTGAACGCTAGAAATCAAATCTATTCGGATTTTACGCCCCATCGATCCCGGCACTAAATCAAAGTGCCGGGGCGATAGCAAAGCCCATTTGATTGATGATGGCTCAGACCGCAGTGCCGATAGCCGACACCGATAATCTAAGATACAATAGCTAAATGGGCTAGAAAAAAGTATTAATTGATTTAAATATTAACCACAAAGCTTTTTGTCGAAGGATTTAGCAAGGCGGTGTCCACAGCTCAAGCTTGCTTCTCTCTCTCTATATGAATCATAACAAGTCGTGGTCTTTAGGTAAGCCCAACTAAAAAATATTGTGCTTAGTTTAATAATTAGTCTAGTATATAGCACTATAATTGCCACACCTTTAGCTTAAGGCTGTGTTCAGAGTTCAAGCTCGATATTCACGTTTTTGGCCTTGGTCTTTAGATCAGTTTATAATTAGATTTAATTATATAATTTATTAAGCAATATTTTGCTTTAAGAGTATTCTATACTTTGCTTCATTTGACTATAATTACAAAAATAAATATTACTTAGTACATATATACATACAAAGAAATATCTCAATACAGAAATGTAACCATTTTTTTAGCTATCGCGACTGGCATTTATTTATGTGCATCTCCGCAGGTGCTAATTACAAATGTGTACAAAAGTGTAATTTTGTGGCCTTGGGTTAATTATTCAATAATTAATTAGTAAACGTTGTTAGGTTTTGGGGATGAATCTGAACGAACTTGGGTAAGCGACTTGCACATTACTCATACGTCCCGTTAAACGAAATTCGTTTGTGCGAAAAATCAACCTCTGTTGTATGTTAGTGTATTAAAGGGTATTCAGTTTTTGGTATGAGACAATCCGCAGTTAACAATTCTCCTCTACATATTATACATATAGGTCTTTGCCCCTCTACTTATTAGGCGTCAAATATTACCCATACGCCCAGTTGAGTGCAAACATTTGCTCACAAAAATGTTAACCTAATTACATATTGATTGTATCTCTTCAGAGGCCTTGTCAATAGGCGGCAAATATAATAATGATCTTTTACATATTTAAACAGCTTTTAGACTTACAAGCGCAGTTGTCGGCAGGTTAAAACAAGTCAAGCAGCAAATCTCCAAATAACCGATTCAAATACCTTAACTCATTAAAACTACAATTGAACAACAATTTGGATTCTCCAGCTAATGCCAAATAATTGATAAATGAGCCACGGCAATGGCTGTTATCAGTGGAGCTTACGGGAAAAGTAAACATTTTATATGCCCAGCGACTAATTAATAGGCCAAGCCCAGTTCCTTTCGAGGTAAAATAAAAACTAATCATATGGTTGTTTTCTTTAGCTACCTTTGTTTACTCATTAAACGATAATTGTGATATTTCAATCATTGTGCTAAATCAATCAATCAATTAGAATTCAATCGGTAAGCGTAACAAAAAATAAGTTTGAAACAATTTATGAGTGGCAAAAATTTGGGTAATTTGTATAAAACTGCGAAAAATTTGCCCGTCAATCAGTTAAAAATTTCTATTAATACTATGTACGAAAGTGTGAGCAATGTGCTTAAAGTCCGTCTGTTACCATATTGTACATTTATAAAATACTTGTTGAAATTGACATTAAGAAGACATAAGACCCAGATGCGTACATATATTATGAATATAATCCCATATCTTTCCATTAGCGTGTGCCATTTTATCTGCCTTTGAACTGCAGGAAAGATCTCTGGCAGCTTTCAAGAAGCATCTGAGCTCGCCAAAGATCTGTGTAAATGTTTGCTCTATAAATATTTGCTGTTTTGGGGGGCAACTCGCAGACGCTAATTGCTTCTTATCGCACGCAAAACGCTTACGAATAAAATTCTTAAGGCAAACAGATAAATTGGCGACCCACTCGCAGCAAAGGTCAAGCGACTTCAAAGGGGGCGCCACCCCCACAGCCGCCCATCCCACCATTTGTAGAAAATTAAATAAAATTATATTCATAATTTTTTATGTGCGTTTGCTTCGATGACGCAAATTTAGTTTAGAAAGTATGTGTATACAGACTGGAAGATGCCCTGTACTCAGTTCTGCCTCAGTTCCGAGGCACGAATCATTGTAGAGTATCTAGATACCATATTTGTTATAACTAGCTAGATGGATAGATTTATAGCTATTTTCAAGTCAAATTGCTTACTAATGCAGAAGATACCCTTTGCGCACTAAATTTGTTAACAGGGTATAACAACAAAGTGTTGAATGCCATGCCGTCAGCATTTAGAGTCAAAAAAGCAACAAAAAAGACCAAAACAGTATCAACGAAAGCTTTCGATGACAAGGCAGAAATTCGGAATATTATTATATATGTATGTATATACAGATTCAAAGTTCAAATTATCTTGTTATTGCCAACAAAATGCTTAGGGGATTCCCTTGTAAATTCCCAATAATTAGGTATGCAAAAAAACTCAATGAGTCTAATGCGTATTTAAAATGAAATACGTTAAGCCTATCAACAGGTATGGAGTGTAAAAACAAACCTGACCGCAGTCAGACAACGCTGTGATGTGCCCACACCTGTAGTACAACATATTTACCACATACATGTATAACGTCCTAACTCAACTGGTTGTCTTGCTGGCCTAGCCAGATCAGGTGCTCGATCTTCGTACATATGATCGGGCTGTCATGTGATCGCAATGCAAAACCAAAATCAATACGATTACAAATCTATAAAATATATAACATAACGTATATATAGAATATGGAGAACAATGACTGACTTTGTTGAAGGGATCGGTGCAAGTTATATATAAGAATTATTTGTAGGAAATATATGTTATAATATATAGAGCAGATAACACAAAAACCTTGCAATTTAGAGATGTAAAAAATGGATTCAAGATTCTTGCTTCTCTTTGGGAATTTCTTAGAATTAATTGATATTCATTTGAAGTTTGGCTTTGCTGAAATGCTAGAATAATACTTTAATGTCGGACGATAAAGTAAATATACATATACAGGGTTTTCTTTCTAAATAGGTTCAGGCCGAAGACTGTCCTTTATTTGAAACTTACCAGCGTGTGCGTATAGCCTAGGCCCTCCTCGGAACCATCCGGGCTCTTGTCGCGCTCATGACCCATATTGAAGCGCAGCGAGGACGCATTGGAGCACGTGCGCACGGGCAACGTGTGGTTCGGCGAGGGCACCAGCAGCAGAGCTTCGTGTCCGTTTTTATTTATCTTCATGTTTGAGTTTTCGTTTAACAAGTTGCAATATCACAATAAAAAGCTGACGACTTGAATGTTAATGTGTCGCTGTAATATGTAGTTAATTTATATTGTTTTGTATTTGCACTTAATTTATTTTGTTTATTTTGGCATTGCATTCACATACACTGTGCAGATTCGCTTGTTGTGCGGTTTCTGCTGTTGCTTCGATTGTCACTCGCGTTTTCTTTCCGCATTGCGTTCGCTTCTGCTGGGCTCTGCGTATGCGTCACATGTGAAAATGAAATCAAATTCCTTTTGCTTGTGCATTAAATTCAATTAGCTGCACTTTTGTTGCACCAAGCACAAGTCACAAGATCGACTTCCTTTGCAGCGGCAGCGACGCCAACGCATCACAAAGCGCTGCTGCGACTCGAGTGAGTTAAGTTGGGCGCACTGTGCGGGAGTGCAGCCGACGATCGCGCGCAGTCGCGCACGAAAAGTTTCTCTACGAACAATAACAGAAAAATGCGTTAAGCTTGCAGCGGCAGCGGCGCAGCTCACTACGACTGCGGCGTTGACAGCGTTTATGCTTTGCAAAACTGTTGTTGCCGCTCTGCTACTGCGACGGCGACGGGGACTTCTGCGACTGCCGGTGATAGCTTTGTGCGCTACTGACTTGTTGTTGTTGTTCCTCTTGGTCTGCTTCCTTTTCTTTTTGTTGTTGCCTCTTTCGAAATGCGATAGTGTAGCGCGGGGTGGTGTGGCGTTATGCGTTCTATTTGAAGTGGCGCACTTGAGCGTGTGAAGGCTTAATTAACAACGGCGACAACCGAAACTGCCAAATGTATCACAGTTTCATTATCTGCTTTATCTGTGCGCTGGATTAACGGCAACTGCAGACAGAAATTAGCAACTACCCTTTTTGGAAATTTAATTAGCCGTGCTCATTATTAGGTGGTCACATCGGATGGCTATTTATTGTTCTAGCCTGAAATGATAAAAATATAAATAGCCTGTTGTAAATAACAGAATATGAACCGCTTTATTAGCTAAGCTAATTAAATTATGCATGGGCAAGCAGCACTCCTCACTCACCTCACTCTCTACACACGCCACCCAACGATCGCCCACACATGTAAATGTGCTGTGACTTGGTATGCAAAACATGTTTGATGTTTGTTAGAGAGAGAAAGACAGAGTTGTGCGCGTTGGAGAGTGAGTGCGAAAATGCAGAGAGTGTAAATTGAGAGCGCATTGCGCTCGCGGGTTGCGTGTGTGTGTGTGAAGCTTACACTAATAAACAGGATTACCGATAAATGAGTAAAATGTACTGTCTGAAGGCAACTAAAACAAAATGGAGATTTATCGTGAGAGAGAGACAGGCATACTGTATTAGGAAGTTTTCACCAAAAGGTCCTGTTATTGTTGTTTGTGGCAAGCGAAGATAACGTTGGAAAGTAAAAGTATAGACGAGATTGTGCTCCATTAAATTTGTATTTTTTACAAGCGCAGTTAAGAACTAGAGTGATTGCTTAGCACATATTTGTGACAGTAAAAACAAACCATAATATATGTAAAAATGTTAACCTTATAACCACAACAATGCTGAGCTGTGTAAAAACAGCTTGCGTACTCACTCTGAATGATATCGTATAGCACAGCGAGAACATTTAGAAAACAGTTTATGTACGCTTTTATCTTAGTGCAATAATTTGTTTAGTTCACGAGGCCTTTTCCTACTCTAGCAGGTCTTATCGCCATGCCCAAAACCGAGTAGCCCAGGAGTCCCAAAGCCAAGTGGCCAAATTCGTTTTGATTTACGATCTCCTAATAATAAAAATACTTGGAGCATGTTTAGCTACAAAGATTTATTAAAATGCTTTAATCTTTTGTCAGCAACATGGCTGAAAGATTTATGAACCTAGGCGTATTTATTTTTGCACAAATAGGAAATAAGCAACCCATGGCCCTTAAACAACTTCTGGAATTTGCATAGAGCATTTTTGTTAAGAGTAACAAGAACAAATCGAGAATAAAGCGGTTTTAGCCGGTTTTTATTTTATTTTTTTCACTTCATCCGCGCGCTGATAATAAGCCGCAAATACTCGGAAAATAATGCCTTTTCGTTTTGCTTTGGGAGTTTATGTAAAAATATATACATATGTATAAAAAACAAGCAAAAAAAACTGCATTATACAAATGTGTGTCGTTCGCATGCTATATATACATTGTTTCTTTAAATAATTCTCGATTCCATTAAGTTTTTATTTTTTTCATGTTCGTACATAAGAACTTTTAAATCGCCAATAAAATGTTATTGTTGACGCTTCCATTTTTTTTTTTTGGGTTGCGTTTCAATTTAACGCGGCATAGGGTAATATATTATATATAATATAATGGTACCAGAGGATTGTATATTCAATTTTTATTTATTTTTTTGCGATTTTCTCATTCTATATAAGCAATATAATTCTGATTTATTACAATGTAAATTCCACATATTTATTCACATTTGTCAGCTCTTATCGATAAGATTATTTGCGTTTCTTATGGCTGTTGTTTTATAAGGAATTCGGATGTCTATAAGTGCTTGCTAAAGTTTTGATATTGTTTAATTACCTCATTAAGTGTTCAATAGTCAACAGTTAAAGCTAACTCTTAGGCCTGAAGAACTAAGCTTAACTTCCCCCTCGTGTACTTGAAACAGATATGGGCAGTCGGTGGGAAAAAAGTATCTTTAGGTCTTCAAAACGGAGACCTTTGTTGTTGTGCCCACAAATTAATACTCAAAGAAAGTCCATTTAACAAAAAGTAACTCTCTTCGCTTTTGCCAAATGAGATACATTTGCAGCAGCTGCACTTTAGTTAAACATTTGTGCATAAAAATCAATATTATTTAGCCTTAAAAACAAGAAAATATTCAAAACAAATCACATCTAATGAATGTAAAATTGAGTGGAGGCAAATATTTTGTGTGATTGCTTGAACAAATGTAGCACATACTCGTCGAATATACAAAGTACTCAGAGTACTCAGAGTACTCATTAGTTGTTATCTATTTTGTTGTGTATATTTGTTTAAAGTCAATTTCCGAGCCTGTAATTACAGCACATAATTTACTTGCATTTAAATATAATTAAAACAACAGCGTCAAAAACATCCGAATAATATAAAAGCTGAAACACAAGCGAACAACTCTTCCCTTTAGCCACACCTGCGACACCTGGTGAACGCGTGCTTTGCTTTGATTTTGCTCACTTTTGTTGCTATTGTTGTTGGCACCGACACTTGTTGTGATCGCACATATTACGTTTGATTGATATGCGTTTGATTGACGCGTCGATTGACTTGTTGTTGTTGTTGTTGTTTTATTTTGCCGTTAGCCGCGTTCGCTTTGCGTAAGCTGTAAGCTGTAAGTTGGCAGCTGGCAGAGCGATTCTAGAGCAGCTCCGTTGTCAACGCGGCCGCTTCGCGTTCTGACATTGACTGCTGGCGGCGTCGCCGCTGTCGCTGCTGCTGCTGCTGCCGCTGCTGCTGCTGGCGTTGTCGCCGTTGTTAGGTGTTTTGTTGCTCCAGACCCGGTTATCACCTTCGGTCAGTTCGACAATTCGTTCCGTTTCGATTGATGACGTTGATCTACAAAACGAGAGCTTTTTAGCGTGCGCTGCGATCAGCTGATTTGCATTTTTACAGTTTCGCTTTACTGATTGGCTTTCTGATTGGATTTCTTAAGCGCCGAACAAATTTCTCCACGCCAAGTGTTTGATTTGGCAATTAAACCTTGGTTTAATCGTAGTCTTTATTTAAAACTAAGTGCTAGTAAAAGCTAACTGTCTCCATTCGCTATTTTATTTTTATAATCTAGCATTAATATTATAATTTAGCCAATGCTTATGTAACAGACTAAACATTAATATGCCTCTTTAAAAGCTTTATTGCGTGCACTTAATTTAATTATTTTTTGCTACTCGACAGAAACATGTTAATCGAAATCTGATCATCATATCGCTTAGCTTTATTTAATTAACACGCCCGCAAGGGCACTAAATCTTTGATATCCCAGCTGATAACTGTGCTTTAATTACCGTTATTTATGGCGACTATCATCGATGCCATAACACTAGAACTAATGATGCACAGGCAGATTAAGATGATCCATAGCCTACACGATATGAGTATCTAGAATTACGTAATTGGTTTTTTCCACGATTACAATAGGTAAGGCTAAATGTTACTTGGTTTATTTTTTTTGCAGCCTTGCCATATTTACAAATATTTACTATCATGACATATTCACGCTTGTTGCGTAAAATTCAATAATTTTTATTGTTATAATTACCATATAAAATAAATAATTGAACGTGCATTTCATTAGCACTCTGGAAATTGTTGTGTGCTTCTAAAGATGACAAGCAAATATGTGATCGCTTGATAAATACATATGTGATGCAATTTGTTTAAACAATAAAACTAAACATAATTAGAAAATGATCCAAAAGGTCTTACAAGACATTATCATATTCCAAAATAATAAACTTGCAGTTGTTTCTTTTGATTATTTTTGATGTAATATTAATAATCTTACATACTTCTAGTAGATTTTAAATGAATTGTTCTGTAAATATATATCTACAAGATTTATGTGATTTATGAATTATTTCAAGTACCTACAATGGCATATTATAGCTTGAAGTCGACTCTTGCTTAAAAAATATCGTGCTTTCGCATACTTAAAGAAAATTGCCAACTTAGACACGAAAACGATTTGATTTATAAATTACGAGTACTTTCATAAATAAACTTTGCACACACGCCGCAACAATCAGATGGGGAAATATAAAAAAGAGAACAGTATCTGACAATTATTTCTCGTCTGTTGGTTTTTAACATTTTTTTTGTTCGCATCGTGAAGCGCATAAATAACCTGGCAAATAGATACAACTGATTAGAGCATTATAATTTTGGACTTATGTAAAGATACTCGCCCCATCCCCCATCCAAGTTCTTGGGCATGTGAATTTATTATACCCACAATAAAAATGCCCGATTTTATTGATAGACCCCACCCACAGGTCTGCAATAACTGCGTGCACAATCGCAAAGAATTGGCCAACAATCACATCTTCAAGTGTGATCAGAATTTATATGGACGCCATGGAACGAGTCTACGTTCTGGAATGTGACGGCATTATCTATTTTGGGTTTCTTGCTCTCGTACATATTTTATTGACATAATTAGCGAAAATTATTATTGTCATTGTCTCTTGAGTAAAACTTATCTAGCTGACGTACCAGAGGGAGAGAGAGCGAGGAGAGAGAGAGAGAGAGAGATGGATGGGGAGAGATGTCGATAGCAGATGAAAGAAAGTGAAATGTGAGGGTAAGAACACAAGTGCATAGTCTATAAGATGTACATAAAACAGAACCCAATTGAGTCTTCGTAATCGTAAATTAGCGAATGCACAAGTCACAAATAACTTGGAAGATAAACGTTATAAAGAATATAGTTATACCCTCATTATTATTTAATATTTATAATGAGTTATTCAAGCAGCTTGTCAGTTTGAAATGTACATCAGACCACCCAGAGCTTACAACCTGAAGCTAGTTCAGGAATTGCTAATTTGTATGTCATAATGCCCACCTGAACTGCTGGCATGCCTCCAGATGTACTGTACATAGTACACTCAGAAAAAATTGCTGTGCCAAATTCGAATATACCCGAGGCAGTTTTTCTTTTAATATATTATATATGATGAGAATATGTTGACTATGACCATTCCAGAACTAAGTTTCAAGTTTGGATCACAGTTGTATCCAAATTTTTTCTTAAAAACACAAACTTCATTAGTTTAATAAGTTCTAACCTTGTCCGAACTTGTTTAGATTATAAATTCATGGCTTCTTTTTCGCTGAGTGTACATGTCAAATAGTTCTCATATTTTTCACCTGACTTATTCAATACTTTCGTTTTAACACTTCCATTCATTAGACGTAGAAGCCGCTATATTTTTTAGAGCCCACTTGTTGCAGCTCTGTTAACAAGCTTCAAGTTAGCACATTTTCTACGGCCCATTTCAGCCGGAGAGTAGAAATAATATTAGAAACAACCCATCGAAGTTCACACACTTTTGCAAACCAAATAGTGTTATAAAAAAATATTCCATTTTTGCTTCAAATATACCATGCACACTTTTTTTTCTGTCTCAACAATTGTTTTAGTTGAGCTCGACTAATTCAAAAGCGACGTTTAACGAAATTACAATTTGTTACCCTTTTCCCCGCCAATTGTTGGCATGTGGGTAAAATTTTAGACTCGTGGAATGCGCGCGCGCGTTCGCCACAGCAACAAAAACAATAATGCAAGTGCCGCGGCGTTTGTTGACCAAGTCTACAGTATTGCACGATCTATTGCTGATCGAGACATCTATAGTATAGCTTTGTAATTGGTATAGTCTGGGAAATACTTGCTGCTTCAAGTCGAACGTGTGCTGAGGAAACTGAGAACCCATTCGGCTTGGCGCGGCTCACTTCTGGGAAACTGCTTGAACATATATTAAGAAACACATCGAGACTAAAAATAATCCACATCTTGTCGACTACAATTCGATTCGTATGCAGTAAAAACTGATCTTCATTGTGTAGCATGAACAGATCTTCCTATGTTTAAATAAGAATTGATGTTCATCTTGTCATTATGAATATCTTTTAACGAGAAAGAGTCGAACCCCATACTATGTAGTATAAAACAATCTTTTGTTGTGGAGTACGAATCGATGTATTGGTTTATAAATTTTATTGCTTTTAAATGTTTATAATTTCTTGTTGTCATGTCAGGATTGATTCAGAAATTACAAAAAATTGACATATCTTTTTTGTCCAAATCTTTTTCCTTTTGTCCTGTTATCATTTCATTCTTGTGGAAGGGAGGCCAACATCGTTTTACATTTGCGACCAAAACTAAGTGTAAACCATTTGGTTCGTATAGATACATTTTTGCTTAAATTATATAAAAGATGTGTATTTGTTTCATATGCAATCGAAACGTTGCAATTCTATGTACTAGCGACATGTTATGTCCTTCGTGCCTGCTTACAAGGTGCGTTCGACGGTTGCGGTGGTGGTCCGCAATCTTATAAAATACTTGCGTTTACATTAGCGTATGTAAAAGTAAGGAATTAATGTAAAGGTAAGCGTTTAAATGCGACGTGAGAAGCCACTACCACCGCCGCCACCAATGTTGCCAGGACCACCACCGGCACCGCCGCCGCCGCCGCCTCCACCGACATTAACGCCGCCGCGTGTTTTGCCATCATAGAAGAGCTCAATGTAGCGGGAGCCCATTTGCTCGCGGTGCCGCTTCATAGCCAGTTGCGAATCGTCGTACGTGTCAAAATAGGCGTCCGCGGTGCCGCTGTGCAGGCCTTTCTTATTATAGTTAATGCGCACGTTAGCTGGGCGTATGGGATCAAAGAACTGCAAGATGATGAAAGCAGGTTAACTTAAAGAATCACTTCAACGGCTCTGCTTTGATGCTTACCTTGAACACATCATTTTCAAACGAATTGTAGGGAAGACCGCGCATGTGGATGGTGTAATACTCTACATCATTGTTGCGACCGCCCCCAATGGGACCGAAATTACCTCCAACCGATCCAAAATTGCCGCCTCCATTGTTAAAGCCGCCGCCGCCATTGTTGAAGCCGCCACCACCATTGTTGAAGCCGCCGCCACCATTGTTGAAGCCACCGCCGCCATTGTTGAAGCCGCCACCATTGTTAAAGCCTCCTCCACCGCCGCCGGAATTGTTGCCAAAGTTACCAAAGCCTCCGCCGCCACCGCCATTGTTGAAGCCACCGCCGGAGTTGCCGCTGTTATTGAAACCACCGCCATTTCCGCCGTTGTTGAAGCCTCCGACACCGCCGCCATTATTGAAGCCATTACCTCCTCCGCCAACAGAGTTGTTACCAAAATTACCAAAGCCTCCGCCGCCACCGCCGCCGTTGTTGCCGAAATTTCCAGGCATGTCTGTAATGGAAAGCAAATTTTTCATTAGAAAAAACCAAATGAGTTGGTTGGTTTAGGTTTGGCCAAAATGGGTTAAAAATATTTAACTATCTAATATGGCACTTTAAATAGGAAGTGAAAAGTCTACAATACAAGTTGGTTTTGCTTTAGTTAGAGCAGGAGGATTATTAGGAGCTGCCCAAAATGCCGCTTGCACTAAGAAGTGAAGTCAAACCAAAGCCCCTGAATGCCCGAAGATTTTGTATAGAATTAAACGCAAGCCCAACGATTACGAGTATTTTTTTTTTTTGTTGGTTCTTCAATTATTACTTACCAAAGTTGTTACCAATGTTGTTGTTGCGATTGTTTCCAAAATTATTAAAATCGCCAAAATCGTTGCCAAAATTGCCAAAATTCCCAGTGTTTTGACCAAAATTGCCATTGTTGCCGCCGCCGCCACCAC